AGAGGCTCTTGCACATGGATGAACTTGAATAGGTGGGTTTCGAGGGTAAGTCGGGATCCTCGCCGGTCGGCATGGGCCGTCTGGGCCCGAGGGGTCAAGGCCAAGCCAAGAATAAGCGGGTGCTGGCTCCATTGTCGCAAAATCGTCGTAAGCGTCGTACAGCTGAATTACACCGCCACTGGTGCAGAGCACAACCCGTCAAGAGACAAACCATGGTTCACAGCTCTGGTTTCGTTGGCTACTCAAGCGGTGAGGTTATCTGCCTTGGCTCCCGCTTACCGGGGGGGCGGTGTTGTAGGATTTGGAGGGTATATTCAAATCGTAGCAACAATCAAGAACTCTATCGACTTTCTCGTATGTAGGGATGCTGCGGCCGCCCGTTATAGCATGATCCTGCGGCAGATCGTCGATAGTTTTGCGGGTCTCCCCGGAATTGCCGTTGCGACAGACAGACGGTTACCGACCCTCGATTGCTAGATTGTTTCTTTCTTCATCACCGAATGATCACAATCCAATCCCTTGCCCCTCATCACGTCATTTGTGATTAGCCAATCGCGGGAATCCCGACGTGCCATCAGACCGTATCCCGTGGGTTATAGTGGAGACACGTCGTAGACGGGAGAGGTTTATGTACCTTTGATCATTCTGTATTAGGTCCGTAGGTCCGAACTTGTAGGCCAACCGGATAGCACCTGCCGAATTATCCATTAGGTACTAATAAAGGCGGGGTCACTGAGTGTAACTTGAAATTTGAAACGATGTCTATCAAAGGTAACCTCTATGAAGCGAGTGCAAGGGACTTGTGCTTAGATAGCCGAGTGCCATCGGAACCCCTGAAAGGTTTCAATAAGCGGGAATGATGAGAAATATGTTCACAAGGAAACATCCTCCCAGCACTTTGAACAAGGGGAGCTGAAATGTAACTACCTTTTCTGGGGGTGACCTTGATACAATATTCCCGGAATTTCATGCAGTACTCGCGCCACTGGGGCTACTTCATAAACGGAAGAAAACTTTCTGTACAATAGTATAGAATGTCAGTCAGTTATTCAATCCAGGGGGTATTTAATATATCTAGGATGGAGCTATCTAAACCATCGATACAGTGAATTTTGATGTGTGTATACAGTATGTGTATATGCGAACTACGCAGTACTACACCGCACATCTGAAAGACATGGCACGCCAAAGTTGAGTGTATATACTATACCGTATTTGCCACGATCAACTCGCATCAATTGTTTCACTTAATTATAACGCCCAAACTTGGATGTGGTCACGACTTACAGAGGATCTTCACGTGATAATTTTGCTTCACATTTCATCAGGAAGCCACTGCAAAACTATCAATGTTGGCTGAGCAAATTAGAACAACACCCCAAGCTAAGCAAAGTTCAAGTCCAACCGCAGCAATTATTGCCTCGAGGGACATTATAATCACAGTTGTCTCCCAACTAAAAGAGTCTTTGGGCACGGGAATACGTCTGTCATGGTAAATTGTATGTAGATGTAGGTCCATACACTTAACCTCTTAGAGAGGCTTATAGAAAATCCTTGCATATCTAACCAGTGAACCAGGGCGGCATTTATCGACACAATTATTCTTATTTTGTAGTATAGAAGGATCGATGATTGGATGATTGCATTTACCCTGACCCATTGGCATGTAATGTGGTACGAGCCATAAGTGAATCGAGTGACCCTGAGCATTCGACGAAGGAATGCATCTAAAGGTGGAAGAAGAGGCGAATCTATCTGGTGTGGTGGTGTTTGATATATCCCACTGATAACGAATATCACCTATAATGATCCCGGTCCGGTATTTTGTTTCCATCGATAGATTGCAACCGCCAGGATGCAAATTTCGCGTTTTGCATACTGGGAGCGAGGGTACTCACCACAAAATGTTTATTTTAGGCTATGTGCAGTATAAATATTAGCGGAAGTCTATTAACGTGCTACTACAGGCAGTCTACGGAGAAGGTAGCTACTGTGGTTACTAACAGCTACACCAGATAAGTAGTCTTATTTTTGTGTTATCTTTTCAAGATCATTATGATTGGTACTCTGTCGCGGGCAATAGATCTCAGTCTGCCAGTATTCTATACAGAGTTTGCGACAGCTCCTCCAACAATTTGTTTGAATATATTCAACGTGAGCACCGAATATTATGATGGGAAAAAGAAGTGGCACCGACAGCTGCGACATGTTTTGCGTCTTCCGGCGAGAATTGAATAATCCCAGAGACTGCTTCATGGCTACAGGGGTTCTCGAAATCGCCTTGACCAGTACACACTCACTCTATCTCTTCTGGCCCCACCGCCAAGACCTTAGCGTAGAATAACCATTCGACAAGATACAGGGGCGCAGTATTGTCGTACCGCCTGTTTCTGTAATTTTGATTAATACGATTTCTGCCTGAGCTACGCTGTCCGCCTTCACGGGTACCACGTCATCCCTACCATATCATCGATCTCGAAAGGTGACAAAGCACGGGCACAATAGCTCTGATCCCGAAGGTCTCCTGTCATTATTTCGTCCGAGAGCTCATCCGAGGTATGGACTCGAGCAAATCACCCACTATCCCCCAGATTGCTGATGTTGCTACATATAACCCTCCACAATCCGGAGTAATAGCCAGCCAGCAATTCGGTGATACTGAAGCGCCTCCCATCCTCCGACATTGAGCGAAGACTAAATCACCTAATTCGTCATTTACTACGATATATCATATACAAAATTTGACATGGACCATACGGGGAGGAGACAGGCCTTTCTCTGTGACCTACCGCCGGAGATGTTGGAATCGATCGCAAGGAATCTTTACCTTCCTGATTACTTACATTTCCGTGCGCTTTGTCGTCGGACATGGTTTTTGTTCGACTGCTCGGCTCTTATATCTATTTTGAAAAAGATTCGGACCCCTAAAGACGACGATTCGGAAATGCAGGACGAGGATTGTCAATTCAGAACAAGTCATTACATATCGCGTGGGCATATCTTATCTGGCGACATGATTGAGCGCGCAGCTCGTTCACACAATTACAAAGTGCTTTTAAGTTGGTTGATCGATCATGGTGCTTCTTTTCGAGAGGTTCCAGGTGGTATTGATCGGCTCTGTTGCGAAGCATACGAGCAAGGCGACTTTGAAAGGTTTCGCTGGCTGTTCTCAAAAGGAGCGTCTTTAGATATTTTGGCTGGAGTGGTGTTCGATTTTTCTGGTTGTCATAAGCCAAGGACGCGTGAAGCTTGCCGCTATCATCTCCTTCAGCTGAAAAGGGCACTCCGAGAAGGAGCAAAACCTAGTGGCTCTCACGAGGCCTTAACAGCAGAGTTAAGATTGCGTCGACGTAAAGGACTCAGTGACGGTTGGGGGAAGTCTATCAGCTAGATATGCAGCTTGTGGGTATTTGGAGGATGAGACACACCCCAGGAGTGATGACTGATGACTAGCAAAGGGAGGTATCCTGAGAGGAAAGCCGGGGACACCTGGGGGGCGGCAGATCATCAAAAAACAACACCTAGGCGGCTTTCTATGACTGTCAAAGTCGACGGGATTCTCATGAGGACACTGTATTATTACTTCGATAGATATCGTTTCATACCACGTCCATTTTACCGCCTTCCTCAATTAATTTTGGCCAGGGCAATGACGGATCTGCGCTAGGGTCTTGGCGGTGGGGCAAGAAGAGAAAGAGTGAGTGAGTCAGTACTGATCAAGGCGATTTCGAGAACCCCTGTATCAAAGAGGTCGTCGATCCATTTATCTACTGACATTTGGTCCCACGAAACATTTTCGGCCTTCATCGTTGTGCAACATTGGCGAAGAGATGCAACCTTCGCTTCGATTGCACGATGGGATGGTTTGAATACCAGTCTCAGCATGAGGGAACGAAGGGATTTTGACTGAATACCTCGAGATGAAAGTAAAGAGCAATCACAATCTCTTTGTCCGACCATCGGGATCTATTTCGCATTTCTAAGGTTTAACTTCAATAACTGCGAGTAATTTCCCCTCCTGGACAAAATCTCAGAAATTATATGTTAAGGTTTGTGTGCAGTGGTGTGTGACGGAGAGAATTGGGGGTCACAGTTTGGAATGCACGTCCTCATTAAAGGGCATTTCTCCATGTATCGAAGAGAACGTAATGGTGTATACGACCGTCAAGTCGAACATAATTCAGCAGGTTGTCAGAATCTCTGCAAACTTATCAGCACGATAGGAGGGGCAAACTGGCAAGGCAGTCCATTGAACAGGTGTTTCAAATCTTGAATTAGTTATGTGTCGAAGATCTAGTACAGACTAATATTGTACCCAGCATGGGAAATAATTACACGGTGGGCAGATCCTTAGTAATTTATTGATGCCATCACCTTATGAGGGAGAGAGAAAATCCTTACTCCACGCCCCTATTTCCACTTCAGCGCCAACCTAATAATTTGACTCTCCCCTCAGAATTATTGGATACAGAGAGTCTCGATTTAGCTGCCCCTCTTTTCTCTTTTCGAACCAGCAATTGTTTTGGCCGTTGGTTTTTACTCTTTTTGCTTGACATCCCAAATCGGTCCTACCTTATCACTGCGTATAAATATAAGAATCCCCCTTCGGCCCAACTCATGATCCACGCACTCATCGTGATTGTATCCCCAAAGCTTGAATTGTAACAATGGGAACCGGAGAAGTTAAAGGAAAGAATAAGCAGGGAAAATCGGCTATTGAAAGTCGATCTAAGGATCAGAATCCTCGTGTACCAAATGGAAGAACAGCAATCCTGGAGCAGAAGAAACTGTTACGGCAACGCAAATCAGACAGAGCCAAGCAAAAGGCAACCCAAGAGAAAGAGCTTGCAAAGCTTAAAAGGGAAATTGAAGCTGTCAATGCTCGTATGAAAGAAGATACGAACCAGGAAAATCGAAGTGAAATGGAAAGCTCATTGAAAGTCCTACTTTCTTCACGCGCTCAGATAGAAAGGGATTTAGAAATAGTTGATTCAGATCTCATGGAGATTGACTCCGATATTACCCGGCTTGAAAGAGGAGAACCTAACAAAGTGGACGACAACATCCCTCAAGAGACAGGAGAAAGCGAAGCAACAAATACAACAGAACAGAAAAGCGAAAACCCAGGGAATGGTACTCCAGAGATGAACCAACAAAGTAAAGACACTGGAACACTGGCTACGGAAAATTCTACGAAAGAGACAAATTTGCATAGCGCAGATAACGACGTCAACGACGTCAACCAATTATTTGTCTCCCAAACGCTACCTTTAGACAGCAAACAGTCCTCCAGTAAGGAAACGGCCCAAGAGCATGTGTCAGACAACAAACGGTCCTCCGATGGAGAAATAGGACGACGTCCAAAGGACTTTGCGGACTTTATCATTGATCTTACACAAGACGACGACTCTCCTAGCTTTTCCTTAGAAGAGGGAACAGTTCTGCTCAGGGCACGAGGTGGGAAACTTTCTCTCAACTCGTATGGGCCAAGAAATAGCCCTATGTTCATTTGGAGTACAGGTCCAGCTTCCTATAGAGTGAAGAAAGTGACAAACCTGCTTGGACAGCCCCACAAACAAGCCATGGAAAGAGACGACGAAACTGATTCACTCGTTTATAAGGGCAAAATCGGCCCTATAAAAGCAGTCGCTTGGCTACCTAGAAATGGTGGGGATTCTATGCTTGGCCTACTGAAATCTGTGGAGGAGCTCAATCCCTCCAATAAAGAAAGAGACTCCAATTATAAATATCCATTCAGCACCGTACTAGTGGACCTGGAAGGAGGAGGGGGGCAAGTGCAGTCAGTCTGGATCGACCGTTCAAAATACAAATGGCTAAGTAGCGCGGGGAAGGACTCAAGTAAACGGACCGACAGGAAATTCTATGAGAAGGCATGCACCCAAGTGAAGAACTTTCGGGATTGGGCTGGAAAAAACTTGGATATTGACTGGGATGGAGAAGCACGGGAAGGTAGAGATGATCGAAGCCCCACTCCCTTAGAAGAAACGCCAGAGCCGGAAGATATCGCCCGAAATACCGCAAGAAAGAACAACCCGGCACCAGCCGCATCAAATCCAGCTGCTTCAAACCAAGCTGCCTCAAACCAAGCTGCCTCAAACCAAGCTGCCTCAAACCAAGCTTCCTCAAACCAAGCTGCCTCAAACCAAGCTGCCTCAAACCAAGCTGCCTCAAACCAAGCTGCCTCAAACCAAGCTGCCTCAAACCAAGCTCCCTCAAACCAAGCTGCCTCAAACCAAGCTGCCTCAAACCAAGCTGCCTCAAACCAAACGGACTCGAACCGGGCTGCTGTGAATTTGAACAGTTTAAATAGAGGAAACCCGTCTTTATCACAGGATAACCAGGCTACAGCTTTGGGTGGGGAGGATGAGGAAGATCCGGAATTGATCAGCACATTCTATGAAGCATTACTAGACAAGAAGGGGGTTGACTCTACAATCCCATGGAAAGAACTCCCTGATGCACTGTTTGCAGAATTTCAAGCTGCCGCCAAGATATACATCAGACATTTGAAAAAGCAGAATATCAGTGTTGCGGATGACATGGGCATCGGAAAGGGGTTTAAAAAGGGAACCTTCTATACCCCCGTTGCCTTAGCTGCCTGAGAAAATATGGATAATCGAATATTATCCCAGCTGAGCCCGAATAAACAGATTGTAAGGATTAGAGGGTTAGCATATCATTTACTGGGCGGGTTGAGGATGTGAAAGCGTACTATTGATTTATCTCGGCTTTTTATACCAGTGCTCCCCATGGCTGCATGGACGTCATCGCCGGCGATGAGAGTTCTTCCATTCAGCCATAGAATTAAATAACCGTTTTGTTCCTTTGATTGTAACTTTATCATGTTCTCCACATCTAAATAACTTGAATGGTTGAGAATAATATGGGTTTAACTGTTGCAAGTGCATATCCTGTTTGCTTTGAGAAACGCAGAAATAATCCTCTGCATGAATATCTAGACAACAAAGAGATTTCTATCAACTTGATCGTCACGCTAAATATATAGTCTCTTATTTCTGTGAGAGATGAACAACATTATTGCTTCTAAGTCACATGAGGTTCAGACCAGCAGGACCTACTTTCTCACAGTTGCTTTGTCGAAGTTGATTTAGTCTTAGTCAACCAGAGTTCGTAATTAAATTCGATGCACAGGAATAATGTACACACACACAATTCATTAACGCCCAGCGGCTAAGCCGAAAGGGCAACTAAAACTGATTTTGTCAATACATGTCTTAATATACATATGCCATGTATCCTTTGAGCCCCTACAAGGATCATTACCGTATGTGTCCTCTCAGGGGTCAAAATCACAACGATCCTGGTGGTTTAGTAATTTGGTTAGCAGTTTGGCTTGAAGGCGTTTCTTCAAGTGTCCAACATCCTATCTTCGGCAGTTGAAGCGCGTCCACCATATTTGGCACAAGGTGGTAGGTGTAGGTTGGTGAGGATGGTGTCATTGTGTTGGTCAACGTGGTTACGTGGAGTCAAGTCGGCCCGTGGCGATTGCGAATCTTATTGATATTTCCGATGTTGCGGTTTTATTCCTGAGCAGCGACAGCCTCAAATCACCACAAAAATGGAACCTCAGACCTCTCGGGATGTGTCCTGTTTATGTGTCTGACGACGCGGGAAAAAAAGGCAGAATCCTTGTTTTTGGGGACTTGGCAAACCTTCTAGTTGAACCGTCACATCGGCGGTCGCCTAGGCCGTCAGGATATTGTTGTCGACAGTGACGGTAGTGGGTTCCACGAGCGAGCTGAAAACGGCGCCCGTGGTTGTATTAAACTCATGCTCTGAAGGGGCTCGATTTGACATCGTTCTGGCTGTGTGTATAGGTGATCAATTATCAAGGTCTGTGTGACGGTGGGAAACTGGGCAGGGATAGTATGTAGAGTGCTTAGTTCTGGGTAAAGGATTAAGAAAGACAGAGGGATATGAGGGCGGGCACCGCGATTCCAGCACTTTCTCTCTCTCACCTCTCCTGTTTCAGTATTCGCTGCGCAATGCATTCTCTTCCTATATAATCGGCACTTGTCACAATCTGCTTTACTGGGGGAGAAGGTTCTCCTCATGGTGGTAGAGAAGTGCCAGGTGTCAGGTGTCAGTGGTATTAATCTTAGAAGCGAATACACATATTATATCTACCAGTACTTTTTGTAAGTGATAATGAACGATCCGTTGATAGAATTACTACGGCGAAACTCTCATTGACTGTGTGCTAATTATACTTAGGAACCAGACCACGAGAGACAATCGAAGAATGTAGCCGTTACGCCGGTTACAGGCTCGCTACCCGCATATGCTTCTGCGAATATACCAACAGGTGCCGTCAATGCTGCTTAATATGATATGACATTGGGGGTGGCCCAGACTCGATCGACAGCGCACTTGCTGCGGCAATATATACCTATTGCCGGGTTTCGTCGATCAGTCGCCCCCCACCCCCGGCCCCCCCAGCCTTTAACTAATTGCGCTATATATAGACTGCAGGTGGTCGAGCTCACCTACTAGGCCGCACAGCTATGCAACGTAGTTCGGGATGTGGTGATCTGCTCCCGCTAGCCCAGTTTCTCGACCTAGCACCTCGCTGGCCTTGGTTCCGGTTTAACATGCTCCGCTCTAGGTCAGTCTCTGGCCCTCGAATTCGTTGATATGCTATTTTTTTCGCTTTGCTATTGGTCAAGTGAAAAACTGCATTACCCTCTTCAGTCTAGCCTATTCCAATCTTGCCTATCTTGCCCATCTACCCACTGTATAAAATAGACCTGTGTAAGTGTCCGTGTAAAATACATTCCGCAGGGACCGATAATCGTATCGTAAGATACACAGATAGAAAACGATCCAAAACGAGATTTGGAAGACATTGTCTAATCAGACCCCGCATATGACGGATTTATTTATTTATTTTCCGGCAACAACCATGTGAGAGACTTGGAGTTTTACTTGATCATGAAAACTACTGTAACGACGTGAAGGTAAATATGCTTATTTTCATCCATAGGTTTATCAATGGTGGCTTGTGGTCAGTGAAACCGAACATGCTTTCTGAAAATTAGGGAATATATGCAAGAGCATGTTGCAAATTCGGAGGTACTGCCTAGTTGGAAGCACACTTCGGTATGATCCGAACGTAGAGGGCTAAATTGTGAGAACATTTGGACGGTCCAGGTGTCCCAAGTAGTACAGAATCTGGGCTATTTGGCTTGTATAAGCTGAGTAGCTGATTATTTGCCTATGTGAGAGCTTCGCCATAGCCATCGGCTTCTTGAGAAGTTGCGCTAAAAACATGGGCGATCATTATGAAAAATTCATCTTCGAGAAAGCGCTACCGGAAACCCAGTCTTTTTGTTTTCGTTGGGCACTTATCATTTGAACCGCATATTCTGGATGATGAACGCTGTCTAGCTTGGGCCACCTTCAAAAGTGTAACGAGGTAGATACTCAACGCAAGCTACGAATCTTATATTTCTGGTGGAAAATATGTATAAGACTGTTCATATCCTGCTTTAGCGAACTGTATCTATGAATGGATGTGAAAGGCAATGGACCTTTTGCTATACTATGCTATTTTAATTGGTGGCTTTTATGCAACCCTGATCCTTATTCGCATAACGTCTCATCTAAAAGACCCCGCGAACTATCTTTCGGTATTCATTTCTAAACATCTCATTTACCCAAATTTAGTCGCTCGCCACCAGCTATGTGGCCCTTGGAGCCGGGCTCATGTCCTCTTGTGTCTTTGGTACATTATAATTAACATTTTTTTCCTTTCATTCCGAGTTTCAACAGTAATTATAGCTGGACGTCGTGCCGGGACGCTGTCGGTGATCAATATGGGCTTGCTCTTTCCCACAACGCATCTAAGCCTCTTTGCGGACATTCTTGGGATCTCACAGATTACCTGCAGACAAATACACCGGTTTGTTGGCTGGTTAGCGCTTATTCTTCTCTCATTCCACATCACAGTGGTCATGATTGTGCAAGGGCAGACCTGGAATCTACGCAACGAAGGGAACATTTTTGCCGTCATTGTAAGTGCCTATCTCCAAGACGCGGCTAGTAACTAAACCATCAAAGGGTGCAGTGTCAGCGGCAGCGATCGTCTTACTATCGATTCCTTTTTTCCGCCGATCTATTTTTGAGGTCTATCTTCGAGCGCATCAAGCTTTTGCTGCCGTTTGCATATACTCCACTTGGCGGCACCTTCCCTCCGAAGGCCTTGATCCACGAATGTATATTTACGTCCCACTCGGGATTCTTACTTCTACAACAGTCTTGTATATTGCGATTCTCATGTTCCGCAACGGGATTCTTTCTCCGAGACCATATCCTCGAGCATCCATCACCTGTGAAAAAGTAAAACAACCATACAATTCTGCTGGCCAAGAAGGGGCGACATTAAAAATTCGTGTGGTGCTCTCGCGACCACTGAAGGTAAAGGCTGGCCAATACGTGAATCTTTGGATGCCTACTGCTAGCCTGTGCTCCTGGGCTCAAGTCCATCCTTTCATGGTAACATCTTGGTCTCCAGAAAAACAAGACGTACTAGAACTCTTCGTTCAGGTACGTCGGGGCTTCACGAGAACCCTTCATTCCCGTGCAGCTTTAGATGGATTCGCTTCATATACTGCCCTTGTTAGCGGCCCATATGGAGTAAGTAAATCTGTCAGCGAATATGAATGTGTCCTAGCTATCGCAACCGATTTTGGTATTGCCGGGGTTATTCCGTATCTGAAGCAGCTTTTCTACGGATATAACACATCTACATCGCACGTGCGACGCGTCCACTTTGTTTGGCAAGTGCAGAACCTAGGTATGTTTATATACTGTTAGCCAATTCGAAGGGGGTAATATTGATTTTCCTAGATATTGCTGTTTCTGCTGAGCCGCTTTTAAATAGTCTTTTAAGCGACGACGTCTTGGATCAAGGCTATGTGAGTAAGCTTCTTTCCAAGGCCTTTCTCATTGCTAACTTGTTGAACGATACTCGAAATGTCATTTTATGTAGCCTCTCAACATATGATGGGGGGTGGGAAACCATTTGGAAACCACGGCCGAGCTGTCGTCTTCGATGGTATCCCCAAGTACGAAGAGATAGTGTCAGAAGAAGCTTCTGGTAGCCGAATCCGGAGACTTCCTGACACACCCGAAGAACAAGGGAAGACCCTCGTACTAGGTGAGAATCTCCAAGTATCTTGCTAGACACACAGCGCTAATCTAATTATGCAGTGTCCACATGCCCCACAGTGCGGGATGATCTTAGGGGGATTGTTTGTAGGCACTTGAGTAAAAAGCTCTCTATGCATGAAACAGATTTCCAGCCAGTTACTTAGAGAGAGATTGTTGAGGGTTTCCAACATCACGATGTAATGATGCGCACAACCTTTCTTTGGCTTTATGTATCAGTAATCTATAGCAAGGGCTTGTGTGCTCAATTCACTTCAATCATAATCTACCAAGAAACGAGCTGAACCCAACAAATAATCACGGGATTCATTATTCTGCTTCAGGTCCTGGAGACGATGAGGGTACAAAATTAAGCGGTTTGGAGGTAGTCGTTTGAGCTAATTTATGACGTTGAATAGCGTGTCGTTGAGTCAGTGAGGCTAGACGAATACGTTGCGTCACGACGTATTTTGTGATAGCCGCCGGATGTCTGGGCAATATATCTCTATGCTCCAAGTTGCCTAATATTAAAACTCAAGAAAACTGGAGTATTATATTCGTGCTCTATTTCCGTTTTAATAAGACCCACTTATATTATATACTTCCCCAGTTAGCTGAGTAGTTGATTGATTTTCGAGGGTATTCGTGAACACAGGGCGCATGTATCCCGTAGTTGACATATCATGGGCGATGCTAAAAATTTAAAGGGTATTGCACAGATGCCACATAATACGACGTCTAATTTTACTGCGATTCGTAGATGCTCAACAGCATCAATATATAAGCTTAAGTGGTAAGCAGACTCGTATTATATCCGTTGGTACTATTTGCGAGTGTTTCACTTACGCGTAACATCTATAGGAGGGCAGAACTTCTATACAGTCATCCCAGAAACTAGCATTACTATTGCAGTTGACAATTCTCTCCATTTTTGTGCCTGAGAGTTCTATCGCCCCTAAGAATTGTGTCGAAATGGGAGGGTATTCAGGCAAATCCGCACCTTCCGGGATGCGATTACTCAGCTTATACCTATCCCCACTAACGTAATTCACGGTCACCCTGGCCACACGGTCACCCTGGCCACCCCAAAACACCATAGTAATAGTGATAAATTACAACCTCATATCTCAACAACCAGGACTTCAATTCGGTTAAACTTCTAGCATATACATGTATAGAGGCAATTGAGGAATATAACAAGACTTAAGGTCTTTCAGACTAGTATTCCTATGCTTTACCATAAAATACACTATAACTGTCGCATTTCAGATTCAACTATATATATCTTTCTCATTTCTCACATTTCCCTCTTCTAACTATACAGACAGGCTTTTTATACTGTCTAGTTTATGAAACCTTACTGGTCAAACTTGAATATACGTGGTTGTTGAGATATGAGGTTGTAATTTATCACTTTTACTATGGTGTTTTGGGGTGGCCAGGGTGACCGTGTGGCCAGGGTGACCGTGAATTACGTTAACTAGTTAGTTATTGATACAATTCCAGAATCCAAAATAGTTCTTCAGTCAAATTGTTCAATTGGTTCCTTCAGTACTACCATTTGCGAAATCCTGCGATGCGTTAATTTTGTCTGAGCAAGCCGGGCGATGATGAGTTAATATGTTGAAGAAAAAAGCGACTATAACCAGGCAGGTTGAATATCCCATAGCTGGCCAAGATACACAGTGTTACGACAGCCGTAGTACTAAAGATATAAATTTACTATACAAGGCACAGTAGTTCACTAAATATAACCCTTGTCTGGGTGGTACGTTACCGTTCGATGCCTCAACAGAATTTGAATAATTTGATGCTTGATAGGTTGAAAATTTGGAGTGCTTTGACTATGCGTTTGTATTTCTTCCCGTATAAAAGGAGCCAATCGAAGAGAGCAGTTCAATTCGATGCCTATTGACGAGAGTATCGAAGCTAAAGAGGAAAGCAGAACATGGGAGACGAGTTCTGATGCACACTCCGGTAACAAACCTCAAAGTTATCGTCCCCATAGGGAAAAGGTTATTTCGTCAGCCCGATTCGTACACAATGAAGGAGTCCGACGCCAGGTACATCTTCCAAAGATAAACGGGATTTACTCATCGGTTCGCTTCAGAAATAGCCATTCAGGAACATTGGTAACGAGGAGTCAAAACTGTTATATTCATCGGCTTGGGTGTTCATGGTTTCTTTGTGATCGATCCAGCAGAAGCACCAGCAGGCGCGAGGATCCCTAAATGGCATATAAAATGAGGCTGGTGATAATGTAATAGCCAAACTTAAAGCTAAATCCATTAATACGGAAGTAACCTCAAGGTTGGGTAATACGTTGTATAGCCGCAATATGCTAAGTATAAAAAATACCTTTGAAAAGTATTTAAAGTGGATTACTTATAATAGTACGGCTAGTTGTATAATCGTCTCCATTTTAGGAACACGACCTCAGTCAACGAGTATGAGCGCTTCTACGTATTTCCCATTAAGATACATAGAATTAATGCCATACACACGTCGGTAAAAGGAAAGGGAACGAAAGATATCTTCCATCGCATTCTCATTTTTAATCCTCGTGATGTTATACATTAACGTCCTCACACGTATATATTCCTATTTCCCCCCTTTAGATTAAACTTTGATGACGGTGTTGTGACTCAAGAATATGCGGTCTAGCAGCTATAGACCCTCAGACTACCATGGTATCTTGTAATCATCAGCAGCGGAACCTTGGAAACTTTCACCATTAGAAATTTCGACATTCTTAGGCAATACAAATACCTAGAATTACCTTTTCGACTCTTCACTGATGCTCACCAACCCAGTATTGACAACTCAGATTAGAGGTTCTATATGCGAATACTGAGAGATTTATTTCATCATGAAGTTTTTGCTTCTTTTATTGGGCCTAGGATGGGTCGCAAATGCTGCTGTGGTTCTACCCCAGGGCAACAAGACCGCTGAAATAAATGCTCGTGATACGGCGGGATATCGTTCCGTTGCTTATTTTGTTAACTGGGTTAGCCATCCCTCTGGATTTGCTCCCGGACAAGCTTGGTTAACGGGAACATAGGCTATCTATGAACGCAACTTTCATCCGCAAGACCTTCCTGTTGAGAAATTAACGCATATTTTGTACGCGTTTGCTAATGTCCATCCCGAAACAGGCGAGGTCTACCTGTCAGACTCTTGGGCAGATATTGAAAAACATTATCCTGGAGATTCCTGGAGCGACACAGGGACAAATGTCTACGGATGTGCAAAGCAGCTATTTCTACTTAAACAAAAGAATCGAAAGCTGAAAGTTCTTCTGTCTATCGGAGGTTGGACGTACTCAAGCAACTTTGCCAGTCCGTTGAGCACAGCCTCTGGTAGAGCGATATTTGCTTCCTCTGCAACGACTTTGGTCAAGAACCTTGGGTTCGACGGAATTGATATTGATTGGGAGGTTGTCCATTTCCACTATCCCATTATTTGATAGAAAATTTTACTAACTGGACTAGTACCCTGCCGATAGTATCCAAGCTGACAACATGGTTTCCACTCTACAACAGTTGCGATCTGTAGGAACATCACACCTTTACGATCGATGCTGTGCAGCTAATTTACACCAGTCATTGGACTCATACAGTGCGGCCAGTGCCAATAATTATCATTTCTTGATAACTGCTGCATGCCCAGCTAGTACGATGTATCCATATACACTACAGTCGGCCAGGTTCAACTAACACAAATGTAGGCTCAACAAACTCCCGAAAACTCCACCTATCCCAGATGAACCTGTACTTGGACTTTTGGAATCTCATGGCCTATGATTATTCTGGAAGCTGGGATACTGTGGCCAGTCACGATGCCAATATTTATGCATCAACTAGCAACCCAACCGACACGCCTTTCAATACGGATCAAGCAATTACCTATTATACATCTAATGGTGTCCCAGCAGACAAGATTGTGTTGGGTATGCCCCTGTATGGCCGCTCGTTTATGAACACCCGTGGCCCTGGTACTACTTACGAAGGGATTGGGAGTGGCAGCTGGGAGAATGGTGTGTGGGATTACAAAGCATTACCGTTGACAGGCGCATCTGTGAACTACCTTAGCCAGCCTGTTGCAAGCTACAGCTACGATTCATCGCAGCAAATGATGATTAGCTATGACAATCCCCAGGTCGCGCGAATGAAGGCAGAGTACATTCAAGCCAAGGGCCTGGGCGGCGGAATGTGGTGGGAAAGTAGCGGCGACAAGAATGGATCAGACAGTCTGATTACTACGGTTTGTCCCGTGGATCGCTGGTTTCACATCTGCATATGCTAATAAATGACAAGGTTATCCATTCATTTGGTGGTAGCGATGCTTTGGACCAAAGCCAGAATGAGCTGAGTTACCCGGCATCCTCATATGATAACTTGAAGCGTGGTTTCTCATCTAGCTAGTTGGCATAATTAAAGCCGTAAGCACATGACTTGAGATACAAAATAAATGGGTGGGTTCAATTATATTGACGGACCAGTGCGGAATTATTTCTATCAGACGCAAAGTCATGGAAGCAAATGAGGGGATGCCAGTTAGGGACTGTGGATTAAATCACACCACTTTACTATAAGGATCCTGCCTGGGATATCCCAATTCAATTAACCCATATCAGCAAGATGTACAGGTCATCACATTAATTCGCGAATGGTGACTGATTTCAAGACACTATTGCTCCAGCCTGCGCGCGTAAATGGATGAGAGATGATCTGTACACCGTTTGCCAGCCTTCATCGAAACTTACAGTTGTTCGACAGGTATTTAATCTAACTAACAGTCCTCTGTAGTATACTTCTGAGATCACACTAAGCCAGCGGGGAAAATGGGGGCACGGTGGGATGTAACCCTACCTAAATATGACATGTACTGTAAACGAAAGAGCTCTATGATAGTTCCATGTGATTTTGCTATCACCAAGTAGATAGATATATAACATGATTCTTGTTCCACAAGAGAGGCAGAACGAAATTAATACGGTAAGAATTATTTAACTACGCAGGACTACCTAGCAGAAACTATCAAGCAGAAACTATCAAGCAGAAACTATCAAGCAGAAACTATCAAGCAGAAACTATCAAGCAGAAACTATCAAGCAGAAACTATCAAGCAGAAAAAGAAAAGCTGTACAGTCGGATGGATGGATGGATGATGTCATTTACCCTGACCCCTCGCAATGAAAAGCGATATGCAGGCTACAACAACTATATATATCCGCGCGTACGTACATGTAGAGTGTTCTACTTCCTGAAAACGAACTTAGAGCCTCGTCGAGGCCTGCAGTGGCCTAATTGCCGTTCCCATTGTTAGGCTGCCCTCGTGGCGCGCGGCTCCAAAACCGTTGTGACGCCTCAGCGAAGTCTAGCACGGCCGATACCGTCTTAGCCCGCGAGACGGTGTCTGGTTTACCTTTCTCACCTTCGGTTGAGCCTCCCAGCAGACTCGAGACGCTACGAAATGCGTCTCCCACTTCGCTCCGTAACTTCCTCCGAATATCCCTTAATTCTGGATAGTCCACTAGCACGTGGGTGACTGTTTCTTGTGCGCCGCACACACACTGATTATCGTCACGGAAACCAAAGGGCTTAGCGTAGGTAGATAACTAATTATGGCCTGTGCGTAGCTAGGTTAATAGGTACGCCTGGTTCCTGGGTAGGCTCCTGTATAGCCTTCTCGTGTAGTTTGCTAGCAGGGTGCTATTAATCTTCCGTAGGTGGCCGCCTTTATTAGATGACCTCTATTCCTGTTCCTACTAATCAAGGATATTACCGCGGAGGCGCGCGTATTCCCTCAAGAGTAGCAAACGAAAGGGGTAGGATTTACCTGGGTACGCGGCGTCCTTGGCTAGTCGGTCTGCGGCATCATTTCCTAGGTTATCATAATGTCCTGGCACCTACTGAAGACGGAGCGTGATGCCTGCTGCCTAGGCCTCCGTGGCGGCTTAGAGGATCGCGTGAACTATCTGCTGTCCGGGTCTGCTTCTTGGGTTCTGAGTTGCCTGCAACGCTAATCGACTATCGCATAGGATCGTTGCTGTTTTTTGTCTGTTGGCTAAACTCTAATAAGCGAGCATAAAAACTATGCTAATCGCGTAGAAGATGCTAATAAGCTCCGCTACATAAACCGACCACCGGTCCATTAGTCCCACTTAGATTTGTTTAGATTCAACGACCTATAGGTTGTCGTCGAGTGCTACGACAGCTACGCCAAAGTGGCTTTCGCGTTCCGAGGCGTCTAAATAGACAACAATATCAGACGTGGACCATGCGGCTTCCGCTCGCTCCGCGCCTGTTTCTCGGTCTAATCCAATCTCGATATCTGCGAAGGGTTCGGCTAGCCACGGTGGTAGTAGGTATAGGTCGATCGTCTCTAGTTCATCTAATCTTTCCAGGTTCATAGTCTTTAACGCCTCCGCTAGTAGGAAGCGAGAGGACGTCCCGATGTTATTCCTTCGTCTCTGAGCTCGTAGTAGTATATTCTAAATAGGGTGGTTTCGTGGTAGAGTGTGGAGTTTTGCGATAGTCCTCTAGGCTCGGTGGCGGAGGCGGAGGTGTGTTAGAAGGACATGTGCTTCTACCTCTAATATCGTGGTCGCTACTATCCTAAATACCGATAGGATACGGATTAACGTAACCCTCTGGACCGTGTTTAGGTAGCGTAGGTATATTTTATCGCGTAGGGGGTCGTGCCAAACCGTTAATGCATAGTCTACCACTAGTGCGACGCATGCCTAATAGATCTAACGCATGTGTTCTAGGCGTAGGTGACGTAGCCCAGCCAGAGCCGTCGCCACCTTTGTGGCCCGCTTAATAGCTTGCTGGACATGCTCCTTCTATCGCAACTTATAGTCAAAGATCACACCTAGTAGCTTAGCTTCGGGCGATAGTTCGATTGTATTCCCGTTTATGATAACTTAGCCCTGTAATTATTCGCTTCTTCTCCTGGTAAGGTGAATGAGCTCGGTCTTTTTAGCTACAAAGGAGGACCCTATCCGGCGCGCCCATGCCTCGATACGGGGGATATCCTTAGACTATATCTTAGCTAAGTTCTCTTCAGCCGAGTAGCTGATTCGCTAGCAGAAGTAGTCATTAATAAAGGCTAATACGCCACCTTAAGAGGTGACCGGTTGGTCGACTAGGTCGGAGTTAAAGAATATAAACAAAATCGGGGAGAGGGGCGAGCCCTACGCTAGTCCTACATAGATTAGCGCCGCGACCTCTATACGGAAGTCGTCAAAACTGATACTCGCGAACCGGTCGCTCATAAAACTCGCGATCCACTTTCTAGCGACGGCTAGGATTCCGTTTGCGCGGAGCCGGGCGTCCAGGCTAATTTTATTAACTCCGTTGAAGGCTCCTGTTAGGTCGAACGCGATAAGCGTTACTACTTTGCATTTATACCAAGCTCGGTCGATAGCGTTAGCAAGGACTAGCAGGGCTTGTTCCGTGATCCTCCCTGGTCGCCCGCCGAATTATATATCGGGTAGCAGGCCGTGCTTCTCAGCGAGGTGCGACAGTCGTCAAGCTATAACTATCTCAAGAAGTTTTCTAAGTGTGTTAAGGAGTAAGATCGGGCGATAGGCCTTAGGGATCGAATAGTCTAGCTTCCCCGGTTTCCGTAATACCACTATTTTTGCTACCCGCTATCGCCTAGGGTAGTGTCCTAGCTTAACTAATACTGTGAAAATCCTGGTGATAAGCTACTTTAGAGACTACTATAGGTGCTTCTATACGAGGGCTAGTAGGCCGTCCTCGCCCGGTGCTGTAGAGCCTTTTGTTAATCTAAGAGCTCGCTGGATTTCTAGTTCGGTAATCGGTGGCCACAGTAGCTCCGGAGGCGCCTAGGCTAGTGGGTCTTCGTCAGGATCGTTTATCTTGGGGAAGAAAGTGTCTAGGAACGCTTAGGCCTTGTCCTCGTTCTCGGCTAGCTCGTTAGAGTCGACCTATAAGGAGGGGACGCATCCCTAGTTCTCTCGCGGTTTCATATAGGTAGCAGCCTTCCACAGTCTTCCTTCCCTAGCTCCGTCTAGGAACTATTTCTAGTATAACCTTTTAGCCTTTTTAATGGTACGTGTCTAGGTTCGACGCTTTTCTTATATCACTTTAAAGAGGTCCTCTGACCGTGTGTGATAGCGTCCGTGCTCCGCGTAGCTCTCTTGCTATTTCCGACGGATAGAGTTAACTTCGGTTTATTAGGCTTTTAGGTTTAGGGTGAACCAGCGTTTGGAGTAGGGGCTTAGTCGTCGATTTAGAGTGTGATTTTCTATAGCCGATATCGTGATTTCTGTGAGCCTTTCTACTACCTTGTCTAGAGCTGGTCTTGTTTTAATCTCTTTCTACGGGCCCATCCGCAGGAGAATTTCAGCCCCTATCTTGTCCTAATTTGCTCGTTCGTATGCTTTCCTCGTCTTTATAGTAGATTTGTAGTAGGGCTTAAGGCTCTACTCCAAGTATGTTGCTCGGTGGTCCGACCTTTAGTTTTCGTGGTAGAGATAACATTTAATAAGCAGGTCCGGTCGGTCTAACACCGTCTAATTAATAGTAGTGCTTTTCCCTGGGTTGTTAAGGGGCTAAAAGCTTGCTGTCCCCCAGGGCAGGCAAGTATGTAGATAGTGGTCTTGGAAAAAGGTGATGAGTTCGCTTACGTCTTCGATAAACCTTAGTTAAATGTGGTTGCCGCCCTACATTAGGTAATAACGGTTGAAATCTCCTGCTAGGACGACGTTTGTCGATCTCTAGTCGTCCTATCGAGCGGCTGAAATTGTATCTTAGATCGCCGTGAGTGTAAGTTCTGCTAATGCTTCGTCCGGATTATATAGCGGGACATAAGCGATATAAACAGAAAAAAGAAGAATCTAGGAGTTAGTAGTCTAGATCTTAATAGCGGTGATGTCTAGGTGGTTGCACCGAACCTACCAGTGTAAAGAAGTTAAGAGTGTTCGGTTAACATAGGTCAGGCTGTAGAATCGAACTTCGTCGGATTCAACGGTTGGCCGATATAGTCGCTAAGCGCTGTAGTTAACGTGTATTCGATAGCTAGTGATAGATAGTTCCTAGATCAAAAGGATATCCAGGTTCTAGCTTTGGTGGTCGTTAATAAGAGCTTCTATTCCCGGCCCCGATTTTATAATATTTAACTATAGCACGCGAAGGTTCGTTTCTAATATTAGGAAGGGTTAGAAGTCGCGAGGTTCGGACACTATCGATCACTAGTTAGGTGTTCGCCGCTATAGTCGAGGTAACGGGCTCTTACCCCTAGGGGGCATCGTTACCGTTTGTGTTAACCCGCGCAGTGTCCACACCGTAGTGTTTCCCTGCACGACCAGGCTAGGTGTCCGAAACGTTAGCATCGGAAGCATCTCTTCTTCTTAATTTCTCGGCGTTCCACGCTACCGATTTGTCTTTGT